ATTTTCATATATATAACATATCAACTTCTTGATTTTCGATTACTCGAGAGTTGAGAGGCATTTCCCAAAGTCAGAGTAATTTTCATTGATTGCATCCTAAAAAGTTTTTACATCTTGAGCTATAGAGAGGTATGATTGTACGATTGATGTGGCTATCTCCCATAAAGTTTATGAGCCTTGCCAAGACAACTGAATTGTTGAGTTCCCATGTCACCAATGATGGTGTTGTGGAATTTGATTTGTTATAAATAGATTTCACATAATTAGGAAATGATATAGCTAGGATTTGTTGATTTTATTTGATTTGGATTTTTAGGTATTTGATGTATTTACCTAATAACTATTAGAAATTTTGTACTTTCTATTATTTATGAATTTAGGGTGTTACAAAATCCACTAATTACATATGCATTGTTTTTGTTTCAGAAATTCCAGTATACCTTTTGTTAGGTATATTTTTTAGGCTTGTTGCTTTGAGTTTTTTTTCATGCACATCATGGATGATGGTGAGTGCTAACAAGATTCCAAAAACATTTACCATTTTACAGTTGGACTCATAGCCTTGATATATCCAGAAATTCTATATTGGGGTTTTGAAAATGTGGATACCCTTTTCGAATAGTAACGTCTTTTTCTTTGTAGGTTATCGATGAACTTATTCATGAGGATATAAAGGACGAGCTTAGGGTGGAACTTGAAGAAATTAAGGACAAAAAACAAGAAATTTTCAAGGATATTCTAAAACTCACCTAAGGATGTAACCTACCCAACTTATTAGACTTTCACATCTGATTTTTGTAATTTGGTCTTAATACTTTGAAATCGATGTATACATTGACACTTCGAAATAGATATATACTTTGACACTTGATTTTCTAGTCTAATATCATTATTTAATATAATAGTTGGATTTTAAATGTAATTTGTACGGTGAATTTCATCTTGTATATTTAGAAAAGCAAAAATAATGATAAAAATGTCATCAGTGATGGAATCCACTAGCTTTACGAGCTTTGCCGACAACTTATTCTGTAGCTAAATAACTCATCAGCGACGAATTAACGACAGTCATTAGCGACAGATTGGCGATGGAATCCAGAGGTTCTCTAAACAATTTTTGTCATCTCTAATCCGTCGCTATTCCGTCGTTAAATCCCTCGCTAACCCATCGCTGGCAATTAGCGACAAGGGTTTTTTCGACGGGGTAATTTCGTCGCTATTCCGTCGCTGAAGGCCTTCAGCGACGGATTAGCGACGGAATTGTCCGTCGGTGATACCTCATTTTCTAGTAGTGTTTGAGGTTAGGAGTTCAAATATTTAAACTTAAATTTGTCTCTTGTAATTATGTCCTATGTATGAGAAGTTTTGCTTGGAAATCTTTTATGGGCTGAGTTTGCCCTGTAAAGGAGTTCGTGCTAGATGTCATCATTGGAATATTATGGGTTAGACTTCCGCTGAATAGTTTGCTATTAAAAAAAAAGTCTATCAATGTAGCAACTATAAATGTCATAGTATTGGGAACTATGTATCTACCGACACTATATTCATTATTCGTGAGGAATTCTGTTTTGGATGTCATAGTAAAGATCATAGCCATGTACTCGATGACGGTAGTTGTTATTCGTGAGGAAGCAATTAATATTACCATCTTTTTGCATGCAACTATTATCAATGTCTTAGTAATGTTCTATCACTATCCAATCGAAGACTACGGTTTTTATTCGCGATAAATTTATATCTTCGTCTTCTTCGTGCAACCATTATAAATTATTCACATATTGTAGTTGTTAGTAATAAGAAATTAACATTACCATCTTTTCCATGCAACTGTTATAAATGTCATAGTAATGGACCTTCCTAATTTGCTCTCTATGTGTTATTACGAAGAATATAATAAACTATGTAGTGTTAGGAATAATAATCTTCGGGTGTTTTTGGAGTTTTGCCACAATATTTTTGAAAGCTGACAACATTGGTCCTTCATAAATAGTATATTTTCTTAGTTTTCTAGTTATGCCACAAAAGTTTTGAAATTTAGTGGATTTAGTCCCTGTAATTTTGTAATGTATAGAAAAGGTCCCTATAAGGTTTGGCCCATCTATAGAAAATAGTTTACAAAAATTTTCCCCGTAATTTATTGAAAAGATCATTGTGCAACTTTTTTTACAGATTCTTTCCATGTGTTTAAAAAATTACAAAATAGTCCCTACCTAACAGAAAAATTACAAAATAGTCCATACCTTACAAAAAATTACAAGAGAAGTTTGGCTTGAAGTTCTTCTCAATGAACTCAACATCTTTAGACAACCCCTGCACTTTGGTGTGATAACTTAGGTGCTACATATCTTACTGCAAATCTTGTATTTCATGCTCGTACCAAACTTGTTGAAGTAGATTTCCACTGTTCGTGGCAAGTTGAGAGTTTGATATTACACTAAAATACAATTAAACTTAACCTAAATATAATTGATAGTCTAACATTCCCCCGTAAGCTGAGGACGTGAAATGACCTAAAGCTTGGACCGTAGAAACATTAACCTTTGCGTTGAGAGAAGTTTTGTAAAGATATCTGCGACTTGATATATTATAGAAATGAATTAAACGTTTAGTTTGCCACAAACAACCTTCTTTTTGACAAAGTGGAAATCTACTTCAACAAGTTTGGTACGAGCATGAAATACAAGATTTGCAGTAAGATATGTAGCACCTAAGTTATCACACCAAAGTGTAGGGGTTGTCTTGATAAAGATGTCGAGTTCATTGAGAAGAACTTCAAGCCACATGATTTCTGGAACAGTATCAGCAAGAGCCTTGTACTCTGATTCAGTAGAAGACCGAGAAACAATATGTTATTTTCTTGTAGCCCATGAGATAAGATTAGAGCCAAAATAGATAACATATCCCTCGATGGACCGATGATCATTTGGATCCCCCTTCCCAGTCAACATCAGAGTAGGCTGCTTCAACAAGGGAAACCTTGTTTTGCCAAGATGTATCTGTGAAAGCTTGAAGCGAGGATCCGGAGTTGTGACGGATAAAGAGACCAAAATTTTGCATGCCCTTCAAGTACCCTAGAATTCGTTTTACTGCAAACCAATAGTTTTTAGTTGGTGCATGCATGAACTTACAAACTTTGTTCACAACAAAGGTGATCTCTCGAAATGACATATTGAAGGGCTCCAACGGTTTGATGATATGGTGTTGGATCAGAGAGTAATGGACCGTCAGCAAGGCTAAGTGGTTGAGAAGTGCTCATAGGAGAAAACATTGGTTTGAATTCGTCATGATCCAACGGGCATTATTTCAACTACCTTCTAATTTATTTTTAGAAATGCATGATTCTTTTAAAATTTAATATATCAGGATACTTGTTTAATGGAATCTAAAAGTGAAATATTTACCTTGACCTTTCTCAAAAGTTCCATGATTTTGTGAGTTGAAGAAGGACTTTTGTAGTGTGGAAATTTGAGTTTCAATATGAGGGTTGTTTAATTTTTTCAATACCCTTTGTTGATCTTGGTACTATTATTCTTTGTTTGTGCAATGCTTGAAGTTGTGCTCACTCATATCCAGCTCAAAGTTTTTGATCATCTCTACCACTTACAGATATCTAAGACGAAAAGCTTTTAGTAATCGTTTATCTTATTCTAGTATTTGTATGATAAAGCGGTTTTTGTAAGGAGATTTTATATGTCGATTGAAGTAATATTTATTCTAGATATTATGGTGGTAGTGTACTGTGGTGATTACTATGTTATAGAATGATGAAGCAATGTTTATTTTTATTTCTAGGTTTTTGTTTTCCACTCGGATCATGTCAGCACTACCATATGGACTAGGGGTCAGAACTCAGAATTTGCCTATGTGGCATGCCACATAGACTGCTTAACTAGATATAATAGATGCAGTGGATAAGAGTGGACGGTATGGCAAAGAAAAAAAACGCCGTTGAAAGTCCACATAGGCATAAAACCCTCTTCATCTTTCCACCACAAATTTTCAAGGGTGGTGTTCCAAAGCTAATAATGCAGTTATGAGGCAAATTAAAGAAGGAAAATAAAAGGGATAACACTCGTTGCATCTCGTTACCACCACCACGAAACATCACATAACGGCTGGGGGGGGGGTTCCCGGTGTTCACGGTGTGAAGGTGCAGATACGTCGGTAATAACGAGCCATAACGTGTCCACACCGGATAGTCTAAAGGGATAGATTTGCAAAAAAATTAAGGTATATAAGTACGGTTTGAACTTGTAGCACTAGATAATGACAACCATACTTCCATGATCAAATTTATTATTAGTCTTTTTGTATTTTATAGGATTTAGAAAGATATTATTGGATTATATTAATTAATTTCATTATTAGTTCTGCAGCTTACACATTTTTCTACATGTTTTAGTTTGGTGAAAGAATGCCTCGTTTACCATGTGCTCATAATAGACTTCACAATAATGTAACAATACAAAGATACCTTTTATATTTTATAAGATTTTGAGAGATATTATTGGATTTTATTAATCTGACATTCTAATTTGTATATAAATAAATAAATAATGCTAGGGTTACCATGTGAACAAAATAGACTTCAAAATAATAGAATAATCAATACTAGGCTCTTTGTCATTGAATTGTTTACATGCTCACATTACCATGGCAAAGTTTCAAACAGACAAACCGCGTATATCTAGCTATATTTTATTTTACTTGCTTTAAAGTTTAAAGTATGCTTATTCATTCACTTTATTTTAATAATATTGCAATATATATATATATATATATATATATATATATATATATATATATATATATATATATAATGAAGTATTTTAATCATATATTGCAAAATACACATGTGTATGGTCGGTAATTACATAAACTACTTGAGTCAATAAATAGGCTGGCGAGATCTCCTCTTTGAAAGGTCGCGCGTTCCTACCACGCGACATTGATCCAGATGTCTATTCCTATTATAAAGGAGCATAAACCATAATCGCTACACGCACGTTTGACGGAGTAGACCTGTAAAAGGTAACAAATAAAAAATGGAAAACAGCAAATGGATAGCTACGGTGGCGAGCATATGGATTCAGTGCAGCTGCGGTGCTTCCTACGCCTTCGGAATATACTCCGCAGCCCTCAAATCCAGTCAAGGTTACGATCAATCAACTCTCGACACCGTCTCCGTTTTCAAAGACATCGGCGCTAACATCGGAGTTTTATCCGGTCTCCTCTACCACGTCGTCACCGATCACAAACGCAGTTCACCTCCGTCGTCATCTCGTTTCGGATCCGGTCTTTCGGTGGTTTACTTGGCCGGAGCGATTCAGTTCTTTGCCGGTTACTTCCTTATGTGGTTATCCGTTACCGGGGTCATTGAGAAGCCTCATGTCTCCCTCATGTGCTTCTTCATGTTCATGGCTGCTCACGCACAGACTTTCTTCAACACCACAAATGTCGTCGTCGCTGTTCAGAACTTCCCAGATTACAGCGGAACCACCGTTGGCATTATGAAGGTAATATGATTTTCTTGTTTGATCATACATTTGAAAAAGGAAGAAGGAAGAGTTATACTGAAGTAAATTATTTGTAAGGGGTTTCTTGGTCTAAGTGGAGCGATACTGATCCAAATCTACCAGACGCTATTTGATGGCAACCCAAGCACCTTCTTGCTGATGCTCGCTGTGTTTCCGGCTGCTGTGTCTCTTCTACTTATGTCTTTGATTCACGTAAATCCAATGAATACGACCAACGACAAACACCATTTGAATGGCTTTTCATTGATCGCTCTAGCCGTTGCTGCATATTTAATGATCATAATTATCTTTCAAAATATGTTTGTAATCCCATCATGGGCTCACATCCTTACAACCGTCGTTCTTCTGATTCTGGTGTCTACACCTCTTCAAGTCGCGGTCTCAGCTCAAAGAAAGGAAAAACAACCGCCGTCACCCGCCATGGCTCCGTTGATTGTAGCCGCTGACAAGGACGGAGTGGTTGAAATGAATCTGGTGCAAGCGGTGGGAACTGTCAACTTCTGGTTACTATCTGTAGCGATGGTGTTTGGGATGGGATCGGGAATGGCGACGATCAACAATATAAGTCAGATAGGCGAGTCTCTCGACTACTCAACTTTTCAGATCAATGCGATGGTTTCTCTATGGAGCATATGGAACTTTCTTGGCCGATTTGGTGCTGGTTTTGTGTCTGATGTGTTTCTACACAGATATGGATGGGGGAGACCATTGTTTATCTCGCTGACACAAGCAGCCATGGTCGCCGGCCATTTGATCATCGGGTCAGGTGGGAATTTGTACATTGGTACAGTGATCGTGGGCATTTGCTATGGATCACAGTGGTCTTTGATGCCTACAATCACTTCGGAGATCTTTGGAGTGAAGCATATGGGGACGATTTTCAACACAATTGCTGCGGGTAATCCCATCGGGTCGTATATACTTTCTGTGGGAGTGATTGGTAGGATTTACGACATGGAAGCTGAAGCAGGAGGAGGAGGTTCTTGCCATGGGATTCATTGCTTTATGGTTTCGTATTTTGTGTTTGCTGGGGTTTGTGTTTTTGGGTTTCTTGTTTCGTTGGTGTTGTTTTTTAGAACAAGGGGGTTCTATGCGTTGATTTTACAAAGACGATCGAAGCAACTTCTGGTATAGCTAGAACGAATGGAGGTGGTTTTTGCTGTGTGTGTTCGAATCGAGTCTGTTATACTTTCATCTTCATTCACTTTTACACAACATAAATGAAACTCAAATTTGTAGACATGTAGAACAAACTGTAAAACAATAATAGTTTTTGAAATCATGATATAGAAACAGATTGACCGCTATATGAACAGTGCGAGAGGAGAGAATGTGTTGATCACGTCATAATTAGAAAGTCAGATAGTAGTTGAAGCACATGTTAAAGAGTGTCATTAGTTGCTGTTAAAGTTTGTTAGACTCACTATAACGGCATCGACAATTAATTAATTTACTACACAACTCTAAGTTAATTTTCTTACAATGCATTGAACTGTTCAATGCATTATATATTTAATAGCTAAAAGAATTCATTTTTCTCATTGAAGAGTTCAATGGTCATTGAACTCTATATTCATTATATGCCAACATGACATCCCATAATGATAGAGTTTAATCCATTGAATGTCAATTAGGCATGCCACCTCATTCAACTCTCCTATTATGAGTTAATGACTTAGGAGGGTAATTAGGTTTCCATTTTGTCCGCATTAGGTCACTAAGGTTTTTTTTTGTGCGCATTAGATCACTAAGGTTGTTATTACCGTTTAGAATTAGTCTTTTTACCTGTTTAACCGGTTACAAAGTGAATACATGTTATATACGGGTATTACGTGGTTATTAGGCCATTACGTGGATTATTAGGTGGCATTTAATGTATATTCCGTCTCCTTAAATTAGGGCAGGACGAATCCCCAATCACTTTCTCTTCACTCTCACTCTATCGTCCCCACCCACTGTTCTTACTTCGATCAATCCACGATCAGATGGCTGAAGATGATACACTGGTCGTTGAAGTCCAGTACAACGAGATGTTCATCAACAAACCATTTATCTATTTTGATCCAGATAAAAAGGAGATAATGTACGCCGATTTCAGGGAGAAGGGGTATGTTGAATTCATTGCTCACCTCAACGTGATTACTAGAAGAATGTACAAAGATGTATACTATTGTCCAGATGGCCAAACATTGTGTTAAGGATTGGCCACATTGCAAAACGAATGTGATTACCATGAATTTCTTGAGTGTCTTCATGAGAAAAAGAAAGTAACTTTGTATGTGGACCATATGCATGAACCCCTGTGTTGAGTGGATTGAAATGGAAGAGCCTGAAGTTGAAGATGATACCAACTCCAACGCAGATGAAGATGTTGATTCAATGTTACTAGATAAAGAGTGCTGGGAACACGAGGTGGATGATGAGGATTTTTCGATGAAAAGGGCAATAGCAACTATTCAGAAGAAAGACAGGTTTTTGAACAAACTTTGCCCAAATGTTGAAGAGGAAGAAGAGTCTAATGTTGAGCAACTACCACCTGTATACCATGTGCACAATTCTGAGCAACAATGGGATGAAATGGCTCCTATGTTAGGTATGAAATTCACCAATCCTGCTGAACTTAAACAGTGTCTTACCAACTATGTTGTTAAGCATGGTTATGATTTGTGGTATGAAAAGAATGATAAAAACAGACTTCTAGTGAAGTGTTGCAAAGATAAAGAACCTACATGTCCTTTTCGGTTGTGGGCTTCTTGGATGCAAGAGGAAAGGACTTTTCAGATTAAGTCACTTAAATCAAGTCATAACTGTGGTAGAGATTTTAAAATAGGGTTAGTGACTTACAAATGGATAGGGAAACAATATTTCAATGTACTTCTGGAAAACCCCAGGCTTAGTTTGAGGAAGATGAAAGCTCAAATCTCAAGCACATACAACATCATAGTTAGCATTGGACTAGGGATGGAAATTTCACCCGAACCGGTGGGGAACCCGGTTGACCCGCCCCAATCGGGAACGGGTATTCCCCGCCAAAACGGGTACCAGGTACGGGGCCGGGGATCCCCATTATGCTAAAACTGGGGATGGGGCCGGAGCCAGGTATAACAATCCTCGCCCCGCCCCGCCCCCGCTTTAATAACTATATATATATATATATATATATATATTATATATATATATATATATATATATATATATATATATATATATATATATATATATATATATATATATCATTTATTGAATTTGAATTAAGTCCACTAAAATGAATTGATCTATATTAGACCATCAGAGATAGAGTCCGTATATCGAATTATGTTCCCAATTCCAAGAGTTCGTCAATCGTCACTTCGTTCGACGATCAATATACCAAATTGTCACTTTTCGTTTTGATGTTTGTTAAACTTTATGATTGATGTAAACAGAATCTGATTATGGAATCTGGTTTTGATTGCTTATTAAACTTGTTTTTTTTGTGTAAATTGAGTTTATTATGTTGATAGATTGGGGATGGACCGGGGATGGGCTGGGGAATAGCCCAAAATACAAAGGGGAGGGGATTTGATTCCCCGCATCCGTCGGGGATGGGGATGGGGACGAGGTTAGACACTCGGGGATGGGGACAGGGATGGTCAACCCCGCCCCAAACCCGCCCCATTTCCATCCCTACATTGGACAATGTAGAAATGCAAAAAAGTTTGCATTGTCTGAGATAGAAGGCACTCTAAAAGAGCATTATAGTAGGTTGTGGGACTATGTAACGCCCGTGTTTCTAGGCTAGGCATTAATGATGATGTAATAGTCTAGGTTAACCTTTGTAAACTGTTGTGAAATAATAAAAATGTATTATTTTGAGTGTTATGTATTCTATGCTTAATTGTGTAACTTAAATGAATTATGAACAATAATAAGCGTAATAATAAAATATTAGATAAGCCCGATATCTATGAAGGAAGTTGTAGTGGTCGTGGCGAGGTTTCCGAATATATAAAGAATGCCGAAATCCGAGTTATAACGAAGAAGTTATGACCTGTCGAAGTTTCGCGACAGAACCGGTACGACACTGCGTGACGTAAATAGTGAATTTATGATAGAGCGGTATTTAGTCTTAGTAATCGAAATGAAAGTCGTACAATACGTTAAACCGAGAGCGTGCATAAAAAGAACGTCTAAATCTGACTTCGTATGAGGAAGTTATGATTTTTCGAAGTTTCAACTTAGCAGTATGCAGCCTAAAGTTCGAATATGAGATCGAGTCGTTTCTAGCCGAAACAACTTAAACGAGAATCAAAGATCTCGTCGATAGTAATACAACGGTAAAAAGACAGATGAAAACGGACGTCAGATGAAGAAGTTATGAATTTCTAACGGAGTTTTCCTGTCCCGACCTACTAAAAATAATATAATAAAAATAAAGTCAAAATTAGCCGACGGAGTCTAAACGAAAGTTATAGCATAGTCTCACCTACGCGTGGATATAAAGAACGTAAAAAACGAAGCTCGTATGCGAAAGATACGAATTTTACAAGTTTGGAAATTGGGAGTACGCCCAGCGTACTCTTGTGCATGGTCTGAATTGGGCCACGAAGCCTACTCCATTTTCATGATTGCTCGGACTCGTAGCCTTGATGCGTCCGAGCTTATCCGCTTAGTACGCCCAGCGTACATGTCGACGAGCCAGTATGCCCCGCGTACAGGGACGTACGCCCAACGTAACTCGGGGGTTTCAGCCCTTTAAATAGTGAGCAAGGCCAGCCGGTTTTGGTTGCCAAATTACCATTCTTCACCCCTCTTCTTTCTTCTACTTTGCAAGAAATACCCCCCCGAAGTCTCGGTATCATCCCGACACCCGAAGCAAGTTCCGAAGCTCCGAAGATCCCGAGAAAAAGAATTTTCAAGCCGAAGCTCTGCCCGCGAGAAGCCCGGTTTTTGGAGAAAAAATCATGGTTTCATCGAAGAATATTACTTTAAGAGCCGTAGTGTTGTCCGAGCATCGTCTTATCAAGTGAGTACATAGTCTCTTTCATAAACACGATTTTAGTACAAGTATTGTTTGAATGTATTAAGTATACGTTTTGAGAGAGTGTATAATCCCTTTTTTCTAACACATAGGTATGAAGTATCTTTTATAGAATACGTGTTATGTGTATATATATTATCTGTGTTTTTGAAGTGAGTATTGAATGAGTATTTTATACAAGTTTTAAGTTATATATTATTGTATAAGTATATTGTTATCTACTAAAATGTTGGGTAAAACATGGGTAGATAGTTGACGTGTGATAAAATGATGAGAGACCTCGATGTTGTTGCTGATTCAGTCATCAAGCGTAGTTTAGATGACGACCACAGACTTTTCTAGACAGTCTAGTGGAATGCTGGCAGGTTCGGCACCTGTAGGTGTTAATGAACTTGAGTGTTCATTTGATGTACTCCATCCCTCACATGGTTGCCTTATTTGACATAAATTGCTGAGGAAACCCTGAAGCATGTGTTGTCGCCCCGATGAAAATCTTTAGGGTAGGTCCCTTGTGATAGTTGTTTTAGGGACGTAAAGTGAGGATAACGGGAATGGGTAATTGGGTTATTGTTTGTTGATGAAATTAATATAATTATTTATTGTGGGTTGAAAACCCTATATGCTCACCAGGCTCCCAAGCCTGACCCACTCAGTTTTCTTTGTATTACAGGTAGTGGCGCGAGAGCATAAGTTGGACGACTTATCAAGATATTTTGATTATAGGCCTATAGTGTATATAACTGTTGTAAGTCTTATAATATGTCGTTTAGCTTTTGGTCTGTATCGGAACATGACATCCCGAGTTTTGTTATATAATGAAAATACATTTCTTTAAGAAATGCTTTGGTAAATCTTATTTTATCATATTTCGTTTTGGGAACAAATTCCGCAACTCTTTTTAATCAAAGGATTACTCTGAAATTATTTTAAAAGCATAAATTAAACCGGTCTTTTCTGGCCGTGAATTTGGGGATGTCACAGTTGGTATCAGAGCATCAGTTTAAGCGAACTAGGAATTTGTAGGATTTCTAGACTTAAACTTAGGATGCTAAGTAAAGATTGTGAGATAAGTGTCTGTTGTATTTTAGACACGAGCACTAGTATATTTTAGGAAAGATGCCTAAAATGTTTTTATGTGCTAATTGTTATATGTTTGCCATATATGATGTTATTTGTTCGGATCTACGGTTTGTTGCCAACCGGATCTGGAAACCTTATGTGTTTAGGATTCTAAGTGTAGGATTACGGTATTAGAACTAGCATGTAAACGTTTCGGAGTGATTTGGATAATTTAAATATCTATCATGAATGAGGATCTAAATTCACCTTATTCGGTGTATAGATCAAGAATGGCAAGAACTAGAAGTAGAGTTGGAAACGTGAACGAAAACAGGAATCAACCACCTGTAATTGAGCAAGTACCTGTTGTAGCAGCAGCACCTGAGCCAATAACAATGGATGGTGTACAAGCGATGATTCAAACAATGTTGGATCGTCAAATGGAAGAAACTAGACGTCTGCTTCAGCAAAATCGTGAAGAACTTTCAATGCCGATTGTACAGCCCGAATTGAGTGAAGGGCAGTCGAATGAAGGAAACTTCAGTGGGGTTGTTGGTCAAGCCAACCCACCAATAATTAGACAAAACAACCAAGAGGGAGGAAATGGTGGACTGGGATGCAAGTACAAAGATTTTTTGACTTGCAAACCATCGACCTTCACTGGAAAGGAAGATCCGATCGGAGTTATGGATTGGATCTCGGAGATGGAGCTAACCTTCATGACGTGTTGTTGCATAGGCAAGTTGCAGAACACGTTCGCAGTACATCAGTTCAGAGGTGGCGCTTTTCGTTGGTGGAACACTCTGGGGAAGACCCTAAGCCCTAATGAGCCACTACAACTGACCTGGGCAGAGTTCTTGGTGCAATTCAAGCGCAAGTTCTGCTCGGCCCAAAATCTACTGGAGTTGGAGAACAAATTTCTGACATTGAAGAAAGACAACACGTTAGTTGATGAGTACACCAATGCCTTTACAGACAAAAAGGAGTTTGCTTTGCGCATCGTCCCAGACGAGCTGACAAAAGTTGACCGGTACGCAAAGGGACTCCCATGGGAGTACGCAGTGCCAGTACGTCAGACACCTACTCTGGAGGCAGCTCTTTGGGCTGCCAAGTTTGTTG